CCTTTGATTCGATCTGACTTTTTTTCGTAGACCTTTCATCTAATGCTCTTAATGTCCAAGGTGGGCGAGGTGAATGGTTCACTTTTTGTACTTTAGAGAGCATTATCTTTTCTCCGGATTCCTCAGGTATGCTGCTGGACGTATCTCTTTTCCGCGTTTGAAGGGCTTTTACTTGGGCTTTCACATCCTCAATTCTTTGAGCCTTCTCAAGAGCCTTTGTGTATTAACTTGAACCGCCGCTAATGCCTCCTGGATTTCCAAAATTAGTCCTTGTATAAATCGTCTTATTCTCCTTCGCTCCGTAACCACCAATTCGAAAGCGAATTTAGACAGTCTAGTAAATTTGGTTTCATATTCGACCACACTCAGGGTTCCCTGACGCAACCCAATAAATTCGTCCTCTCTCCTTTCTTGGACCAAAAGTGGGAGATACTTTTCGTTAAACTCCCTTACAAAGTTCGCCCATGTTCATACCATCTGTTCTCTTTCCCACTTGGCCTTAATTACATTCCACCACGCGCGGGCTGGTCCTTCGAATTGAAATACAGCAAAATTTACATGTCTTTGCTCCGTGTAATTCAAAGCCGCGAAGATATTAATCATTGCCTCCAACCACTGCTCAGCTATATCCAGATCAGGCCCCCCTTGAAATTTAGGAGGTAGAAACTTTTGGAACCTCTCAAGAGCCTTTTCCTCTCCTATCTTAGGATTCCGGGGTTGATTCACTGGCATTTGACCTTGTTGATCTACCAGTCGTGCTAGGATATTTGTCATTTGTTGTATCGCCGTCGCCATTTGATCTCCGGCCTCAACCCTCGGTCCATGTTCTTGCTCGACCACTGTTTCTCTTTCTTCTCTCGGTTCTTGAGCTTGCCTAGTCCCACGGCCACGACTAGCTTCACGTCCACGACTACGTCTCCTCTCCATTCTTTTTTTTTTCAAAAAGTGATTTAGTATGTAACAAAATAAATTGACTAGAACGGCGAAATTTACCACACCAAGTTCACCAAGAAACATATCAAGTAGACAAGATCAAATGCAACAACTACTATACATGTGGATATTACCATGCCACAAGCCAAATACACACAGTAGCAGTACAAAGACAAAATAAGAAGATAACACGACAAGCCATTTCACACTTGGTTAACATAGCCCCCGTCCGATCGCTCACGTCACTTCCTATTCACTAGATGTCCGTTAATCTCTTATACTCATTCTAGCCGAACAAAGCCTGTTCATGTTCCAAAATACAAGTCTCAAGTACCTAGTAGCTAGCATCGCCTCAACTCCAGAGTACTCGGGCACGAGAATCCGAAATAAGATAATTCACATCTCGAGCTGGCCAGTCCCAAGAGTAAACTATCTACAATCGAGATTCCTCCCTGACGTACCTATCTATTGGCCTCACATGTCACGAGAAAGATTTAAGGCCTATAACATTCACAATTCATGGCTTATGCTTGAACGAGCACTTAATCCTTCATACTTAGTCGCCACTCAGTCCAGGCTCACTCTGCGTAGAGAGCACGCAAAGCAGGCTCTGATACCAACTGTGACAGCCCCACCTCACCCTAAGGCGAACCAAGGGTTCGGCGGACCGCCTGCCCAGCTCTCGCCGGAACTCAGTCGTTCACTTTAGACCTCAATCAAAACCGGAATAAAACCACAAGAATTTGTATAACAAAATCCAAAACTTAAAACGAAACTTATCTACATTTCTATCTCAAAAGGGAGTTCAACCATTAAATACACAAAGGTTCTCAATTCTTCATACATCCAGCCCATGCCAAGCGCTAGGGCAAGAACCATTACAAAAGAAATGAAAGAACTAGACCCAAACTAGACTATACAGAGCTCTCGTCCTTGCTCGCCTTCCCTTGTTAAGGAAAACAAAACTAAAGGGGTGAGCTAAAAGCTCAGCGAGATTCTATACACAGAAACAAGTAATTAAACAAGGACATTAATCATGTAATAACAATAATCTAGAAAACATGTCCAATATAGAGCAAAGATAATACATTCATTAAAAGGATACAGGCTCACAAGGAGCAGTTCATTCGTTCGTTCCCCATTCACTCCCTTATTCCTCCAATTATTTAAAAAATGCATTTTTGTAAGTAAAACCCCTCGTTTTTTCCGTTCGTTTGTTCATTCTCATTCACCTCCTCCTGGACGTTGGCCAGGCTTTTCACCCCCATCCGGAAGTTGGCCGGACTCCACCCGACAACAAGGTAATACTCGAGTATACCAAATGTTCACCCAGGTCACCAATCGCCCGACCAAGTCCGCTTCTGGCTCGAGTCGATCGGTAACAAGAGCAAGAGCCCAATTCAGTCAAAAGGCTTACATTCATGCGCAGCTAGTATTTCAACATTTAATCGCCAAAAATTTCATATTTATTTAGGTCGAGTGCGATAAAGTACACACTCACCTAGTAAAAGTTCATTTTAGAAATCATAGAAAACAATTAACATTTAACCAAATATTCACAAATAATTACATAGTCACAACAATCCACATAGTCATAGAAACAAAACGTATATAGAACACTCACCTATTTAAGCAAAATAATGTCCAAAGTATCCTCCCGGATAACACTCTTAATCGCCAAGAAACCCTAATAATAGCCAAGAGAAAATATTACAGTTAAACCCCTCCAAAGTTTAAGTGAACCAAAGAAAAATCGAATAACTACTAGTACAAAGTATAAGTATAGTTTTGGAAGTGAAAAGGTACATTTAAACCAAAGGCTACGAGTAAAATATTTGTAAAACTTATGCTTGCTCGTAAAACTTTGAAATCTCCATTTAAGTTGAGGTGACAAAGAAAACGTACTCCGAGCAGTCATTATTTTATTTCTCAAGGGTATAAGTTTGACCAAGTCCTTACTTATATACCTCGGTAAAAGAAGATGCAAATATCCTAGATGGTTCAAGTGATATTCATTTACCAACTTTACTCAAGTCGCAAGTATAGTTTTCTAGTCCTCGAGCGTAAATTTGGGCAGCATGCCTTTTGTATTTTTCCTACTTCCAGCCATTTATGGCTTCATTCTTTTCCTCAATCAATCCCAAAGTTACACACAACACAAATTCATTTCAGTAGCCGTTCAATAGGCTCAAGACAATACAAGGACAAAATTCAAACTAATAACAAGTGCGGAAATGAACTTTAACAAAAGACAGATTTTACGGGTTTTTTTTTTTGCGGAATGGACACATCCGGGGCTACGCTTATCGGATTGAGGTGAAACTTATACCGTTTCGAAGCTAAGACAGAGGGCTAAAATTTTGTTGAAGACCACTTAGTCCAAAATCCAGTGTAACCTAGTCAAAATCCCAATTCACAGAACCAACTTCCAACTAACCGGCTAGTTAACCATACTTCATTTAAATGCCCATATCTCAGGCTACCAAAGTCTGTTTAAGGCGTTCTTAGAGGCGTTGAAAATCTAAGACAGATTACTAAAACTTTCATGTTTTGTAAAATGGCTAAATCAGCACGGATCATAGTGAATAGACACGGTCAATTGAATAAAGTGTCTAAAACGAATCACCGGATGCATCCTAGGGCAGTTACGGTATTTTGGTCTTTTCACTGGCTCCATTTCTCCGATTGGTCTGAAATTTTGTAGGGAACTATAAAACATCATTCTATACAACTTTCATGTTTTATGCTAATCCTAATTCGGCCTATAACATCACAAACTAGAACCAGATAAAACTGAACTACAATTTTCCAGAAATCTGGAATTTTACGGTTTCAAAGGAAACTTTCTTCATTTCTTGCTCCAATCACTACCACAACCTCTTATATAAGCTTAGATACAACATATACTATCCATACAGCAAGTATAAGCAGCAATCCTTCAAACCCTAACTCATGTAACTTAAAAAAAACATACACTATATCCACCCAAATCATGATAATAACTATCATCCACCACAAATTTAAGGTTGTGAGGACCCATAATTTTATTATTTCAAAATATTGTTAAATTGGTCATTTTAAAAATATTTCGTACTCGAGTTACCCAAATAAAATAAAATAAAATAAAATACTAAAGTACATGAATTTCTCGAAAATAAATTTTACCGATTGGTTCTTTACGCGTATATTATTTTAATGCCCAAATTTATTCAAGATGAATTGCTTATCGTGATTTTTATTATTATTATATATATATATATATATAGTTGGATTATCATATTTTAGAGTTTTAGAATCGAATAAGTTGAATTTCCAAGTTCAAACGAGAAAACCCTTAAGTTTGACCTTTATACGCGCGCGTGCCGAAAAGGCCCCGACAGGTACATTAATTTGATTAATTGGAGATTTTAAGAACATGATATTAGACTACTAGTAATGTACTATTAATGTACTAGGGAAATTACCTCAGAGGTTTAGTGCACAAAAGTTGCAAACGAGCGCGAAAATTGGACACGCGAAGACCCTAAACGGACCTAGAATGAGTTGACACTTAGACTTAACCATTAAGTCATCTATTCTCTCCACACTTTCATTACAATATCTGATGGCACTCTCTCTCCTCTCTTCACTCTCTCTGTTTGGCCAAAAATAGGAAGAAACAGGGTAGAAAAATCTAGCCAAAATCCTTACAAAATTACTTCAATCCACTTTCAAATTTCATCATCCATTAGAGGGCTTTGATCCTAGCTTGGAAGAGGGGGCTGTTCATCGGTTTTCTTGGAGGAATTTCGGTCAAAATTTCTGTCCTAAAGCTGTCCAACTAAGTGCTTGACGTAACTCACTCACCCACACTTCAATCTTGCAAAATTATAGCTCAAATGGAGCAAAGGTAGCATGGGTTTGCAACCTATGGCAGAATTTTGGTTGATTGGTTGATTAATTATTTGATTGCAATTTCATGACATGTTGGATGGCTTGAGGATGCTTATTGGTGGCTGATTTGATGAATTAACATGTTTTGGTTGCTGATATTGTGCTATGTTACATGTATATAGAATGATTGATGAAATGAAGTTGGAAGAAAGTTAGAAATTTGGAGAAGGTACTGTCTGAAAATTCTGACTTGCTGCCGACTTTCTTGTTTGCTGCTGCCCTGTAATTTCGAAAATTTTCTGGTGCAAATTGAGCTTCCAAATTGGTGTAGATATGTTGTGCTATGTGTATTGTGGTTGTCTACCAAAAATCAACCGAAATGGTTGGTTAAATTTTGAGTTACAAGTAAAGAAGCAAAACTGGAACAAGCTCCAGAATTTTCTGACCAGCAACATTTGTGTAGCTATAACGTTTTGCTCATTGATCGAAATGGAGTACCATTTGTGGCATTTGAAAGTATACTCTTAGAGTTTTAAAATGGTTCCAAGCTCATTTTCTAGTTCGTCCCGAGTGATTCGTGGCGAGTTTTGAAAGTCGGCTGCCTGTTTATTACTGTTCATCCGAGACTGTCCAGAAAATCCATTTTGTTGCTTGATTTTGAACCGCTTATGTCTGGATTTTGGAAATGATTTCTTCTACACAAATATAACCTTGTAAACCTAGTTTATAAAGCCACCGGCCATTTTCAATTTCATTGAGAATCGAGTGAGATACGGCCTAATTAGCGAAGTGCATTAAATCTGGAAAATTTCTGGAAAGGCCAACAGTCCAGGAATTTTAGTGAACTTCAACTTTTTATATCTTGAGCTAGGAACATCGGAATCAAGTTCTATTTTTTTATTTGAAACCTGGATTGGAAATTTACATTCATGTCAAATTTCAAAGGCTGGTTTTGATTCTATGATTTTGGCAAAAATTCCAAAGTTATTGGAAAAACTTGGACTGTTTTGACCTATCTTCAATGCATAGTAAACTTTCTTGGAGAAATTGACTTGTTTCCGATTTGATTCTTGGAAAGTGACCTTCTGCAAAGTTGTTATGTGTTGACCTTGGTTGATCAGTCCTTGGTTTTGATGATTAACAAACCAAAATGTAGATGTGGACTAATGTTTTTATGTGAAAAATTTGTTAGAACAGGTCATTGATCCAAAAGAGAATCGAAAAGATTTGAATCATAGAGAAGTTAAGAAATATGAAGGTTCGGACGTAGAGGATCGGACGCTCGATAGAGGATCGGTCGTTCGACTGACGACGATACTCTTCGGACGCTTGGATCGGACGCTCATTCATTGCTTCGGCCGTCCGACACAAAAAGAATGAACGTTGAACATTCTGATTTCTATCGGACGCAGGGTTCGGACGCAAAACAAATGGTTCGGACGTCCGATAGGTGGTTCGGATGCATGGTTCGGACGTCCGACAGGCCAACGGCTAGTTTCGACAGCATTTAATATTTGACCGTTGGAGAGCCTTTTGGAGCCATTTCTCACCTTTTATAAATACCCCAAAGCACAAGAAGACACGGACTTTTGGCCAATACTAAATACAAGCTTACAAGTGAGATCTTTGAGTAGAAATATTCTTTGTTGGTTGTATAAGGGGTTGGGAAAGTTGGGTTGTGAGGTTGCTCAAGTGAAGGTTGCTCTCTAGGAGGAGTAAAACCTTGGTGAAGGTGAACCTATCACTTGGAGTGGTAAAACCTTGATAAAGGTTGCCTCACTTGTATAAAGTAGTTCTTAATTGAATGGGTAAGCTTTCAATTGTAGCTAGTTGAGGGTTTACTTGGAGAGTAGTAAAATTCCTTTGCTCAACCAAAGTATGTTTGGGGTAAGGAAGGAGTGAGCCTTCACTTGTATAAGTTGGTTAGCACTACCATCTATTGAAGAAACTATTTGGTGGATTCAACTCCAAGTTTGGAAGAAGCTTGGGAGTTTGATTGGTTTGAATTTCTTTTACTTTATTGTTACTCTATTTTTGTGCTTTAAAATTGCTTATATTCTTTGTCATTGTATTTACTTGACTACTTGTCTGGTTGAGTATTTTGGTTGTATTTGGTTGCATCGGGGCTTACAATTGGTATCAGATCTTGGTCTCCTAGAGATTAAGCTTAACCGCTTAGAGTAAAGATCATGGCAACCATAAAAGTTTCCTTTTTAGAAGGGCAATCTATTGATAGACCACCTATGTTTAATGGTTCTCATTTTAGCATGTGGAAACAAAGAATGATGATTTTCTTACAATCCGTTTATATTGAATTATGGAATGTGGTAGAAGATGGTCCTTATGAAGCTAGAATAGTTGACTCTACCACTAATTTGAGTAGATTAAAGACTAGACAAGAATTGAATGAAAAAGACAAGAGATACCTTTCTTTGAATGCCAAGGCCATGTATATATTGTACAATGCATTAGATGTAAATAAATCTAGTAGGATTAAAGGTTGTAAATCAGCTAAAGATATTTGGGATAAATTGTGTGAATTTCATGAAGGTAACCAAGATATTAAAGAACAAAAGAAATCTTTGCTTGTTTCTCAATATGAATTTTTCAAAATGCATCCTCTTGAAAATGTTGATAAGATGTGTAGTAGATTTTGTGACATTATTCAAGATCTTAAATTGCTTGGAAAGGAATATTCTTTAGGTGAGAAAAATAGAAAGATTTTGAATGCCTTGCCAAAAGAATGGGAAAACAAAATAAATGCTATAGAAGAGGAAAAGGATTTAAATTCTATGTCCATTGAATCTCTTGTGAATTCCCTAACCTCTTCTGAATTAAAGATGAAATTCAAAGTGCGAGAGGAAGAAAATGTAAGAATGTATAAGAGAGGCATTTTTACAACACTTAGAGCATTTCAAACCTATTTTCATGGTGAACTTGAGTTCACCTATCACTTGAGACCTCATTTGAAAGTCGGTTCCTTATGAACTCAAAAACTTTGGAAACTGGAATATTGGAGTCAAAATTGACTGTTTCTTTTCTTTACACGAATACTGTATGGCTTGGAATTTGATATACAATGCATTATTGCATACCTTCAGGATCTCAAGAGGACTTCGAGGGAACTCCCGGCGAAGCGTCTTAGAGCTAATTTCTCAAACTTTGACTTTTGATACTTGGTGAGTATCAAGTGCATGTGAAGTGTTTAAATGAAATGATTCTTGTACTTGCTAGTTAATGAGGCTAGGGCGTACTTTATCGCCCTTGTCCTCTTTTTCATGAAATTGCTTGCTTGATAAGTGATACGTTTTACATGTGAATGGAAATGAAAGTGTTTTTCGTGAGCATTGAGCGGCAGAATGTATCATGCCCTTTTAGGCTAGGAGGTACCGCTCATCTCGTCTCAATGCTATGACCAAATCTTGTCGATTGGAGCTTCGTCTCATCGACCTAAAAGTGAATGGGGGGGATGCCCCAACCCATTGGCTAGCCTTGTAACTCGAGCCGGCAAGGGCTTGGTCGAGAAACTTGGTGAACCTTAGGAAGTGTTATAGCTTGATCCAAATAAGGGATCTTGCTAGGTATACTTGTTAAGTGATACCACCTACATGCTTGTTTGGTTACGGATCCAACAGGGTGTCATGGTGGCTGGAGGTAGTAAGTGGAGTTCTAAATGGATAACTGTGAAAGTTGACGGAGGGTCAACTACCTGAGCTTGGATCGTGTGTGGATTAGCTCCTGAGAGCTCCCGTATCCTTTCATTGTGATTAAATTCCCTAATTGCTTAATGTTTCGCAGTTACTTGTTACTCGAGTTATTACTTTATATTGTGTCTTTGCTAGCATGCTTGCATGTTTTTCCCTTGATCTTACTGAGCATTAGCTCACCCCAATTTGTTTTCCTTAACAGGTTTGGAAGTGGAAGTTCTGAGGCTTAATTAGTGACCCCCAAAAATATTTTTTTTCCCACAAGGCTCGAGGCCAAAGAAAGCGTTTGTATTGAGTGATTAGTGCCTGAAGGGATATCTCATCTATAATTTGAATTCGATTCACTTGATAAGTATTTGATGTAATTATATGAGAACTGAGGACTTTTGTCTTATTCGGGGAATGATACCCTTACTTGAGATTTGTAATGTATCTTATCTCGTTCTAAGTTTGAAAAATGTTATTTCGTTTATTCTTGAGGTTGTACCCTATGTTATTGGATGTGAGTGATGTATTTTATTTGAGGACTGTAGTGAGTCCCGACGAGAGATGGGCAAGCGGTCCGCCGAGCCCTTTGGTTCGCCTTAGGGGGAGGCGGGGCTGTCACAGTTGGTATCAGAGCCCAGGCTCCAGATCTTGTAGTGTATCCTAGGCTTAAAGTTTTGGATGTCTGACTATGGGAGTAATTTGAATATTATGTGAATGAGGACCTATTGTATCCTAGGGGTTAAAGAAATTGATTATTTGAGAGTTTCTTACTTGGGTGATGTTATATTGAAGGAAAATATGGGATGAGAGATTAGTAGTGAAAGATTGGATGAATTTGAATTATTATTATACTTATAAGTTTGGAAAGAATTGACGTAATTATTAGTACTGGCTATGGAGGATAAGAGATCGAGATTTGATGGTCAAATTCCATGTATGATGATTTTGAACCAAGATAAAAGAGTATCAAAGGAATAAAATGCATTTTCCCACCCATTTACCTCCTAGAGAATTTCTGCTTTGAAATTCTAAAGAAAAACTAGGATGTACTAGTTTTATTTTCAAACGATGATTGGAAATAATATATATATGTTTTAAGTATGTATAATTTTCCGATTTTGGTAAATATGTGAATTTTACTTGAATTTCAATCTGAAAATTTGTGAATAACTGATCAGTTTGTTGAATTTTGTATATGATGGGCTGATACAAGGTTAAAATTTTCTAAACTAAGTTTTTCCCCCTTGATTGTATACTGGTGTATTCTCACACTTAAATTTGTCTATGTTTTATGTGACGACCCCACTTCTCCCAAGGGTGAACCCAAGGGTATCGGCGGGCCGCCTGCCTAGCTCGCGCCAGGACTCAAAACTTAAAGCAATCAAATGAGATAGATCGAAAGAGCACTATATACAATATATACAATCCCAAAAGTTATATCTACATCTTCAAAAGTCTCGAGTCAAACCACTCTAATACACTATAACCACAACCAACAGAAGATAGACCCTAAGAAGGGTCCTTATACAAACCACCAAAACAAATACAAACATCCTAACTGTTCAACTATTACAAGCCAATCTAACTATACTAGTATAGAAGCCAAAAGTCCCCGCGTCGGCCCCTGCTAAGGAAAACAAAAGGAAAGGGGTAAGCTATATGCTTAGTAAGTAAACAGGGGCGAAAGCATAATTTCACGCAGCAACCATCACACAATAAGAGTAAAGCAAAAGCAGAAAAGTAACATCACATAATAAGGATACAGGTGGCTCCAAAGCCAATTCATATGCCATGCGTGATCTCCTGCCGACACTCCGTCGACAACACTCAATGGTCCGTACAACTTCACTTGTACACCCACCGACACCTTATCACCCTCACTGGCCAGTCACCTCACAAACTTGCCCGGGCGAACGAAATCACAAACTTGAGCTTGAGTCACAAGCTCGGGTCACAAACTTGGTCACCTTCTCGGTGAACCGGATTCACAAAATGGGTTCATAACATGAACCTACAAACTTGGTGACCTCAGACTAAGTTGGACTGAGTTCGACCAATCCCTAACCGGCTCGAATAGTCCATACAGGTCTTAGATCGGGCCCACGAACTCACAAACTTCACAAATTTCACAAACTTTACTCGAAAGTCGCCCCAAGCTACAAGCTCAAGGGTTTTGGTTCCAAAAGGTTCATATACATATGCCAAGTACAATTATACATTCAAATTAGGGTTTAGGTCGAGTGCGATAAAGTACACCCTCGCCTAAGTACCCTTTTCACATATCTCAAACACATAGCAAAGAAAACACACCAAACTGGCCTGAATACTTACACAGAAACTGAAATAGCAAAAGTACGAAGTCGGATCGAAATGAACAGCTAGTAGTGGGCCCCACCAGTTCCGCCCAGCTCACCACCGTCTGAAATAGAAGATTGTGTCACATAATATCGCAAACGGCTACTATCGTGCCTAAAACAAGCAAAACGGCAAAACGACACGCGCGCACGTAAATATGACGAACGGAAACGGAAACGGCCGTTAGCGGAAACGGCAGATTTGACACTCATTTCTAGTTTACTCATAAGTTGAGCTACGAATATCGGATTAAGGCGTATGAGATGCCATATCGAAGCTTAAAGGATGAACAACAACTGTTATGAAGACATCCAGAACTGAAACTGGAGGTTTCAGTCCCAAATGAACCAATCACAATCACTTACGAAATCTGGCCAATGCACAAATGGTCAGTTTTGAGTGCAAACTGTTTTCTATGCTACACATGGTCAAAAGAGCTGAAAATTGGCAGTTAGATGGTTCATTCCAAATGGAACAACTTTCATGAAGGTCGGCAATCCAAATCCGGAACGGAAATTGGTCATCAGGACCAAAACAGATCTGACCAGAAAATGGTCATTTTCACGGGCAAGCCTTGTTTGCTCGGCTATATCTCAGGTTTTATAAATCCGATTCATGAAATTCCAAGGGCCTTAGAAAGCTCTGATATAGGGCTATAAGTTTGGTGTTTTGGTTGCAAGCCCAAACAGCTTGTAACCCAGTCAAATGTGAAGCCAAAAGTTCCAGTCATAAACTTTCCAAAAACGTAACAGAATTTGACGGTCAAAACAGGTCTGAGTATTTCATTTATAGCTCAGGATATACTAATCCGTTTAACCTGAAAATTTACAGGAATATCCAGGACTTAAGGGGCTACAATGTTGAAGAATGAAACTTTGTCCAATTTTGAATGTAACAAGGTAAAAAATGCAAGATACTATACCAGAATCGCAAGACAGGATCACAAACCGTATTTGACCTCAATATGCGGTAATGGCACCAAATTCACTACGGTTATCGGATGGGGGTGTAAGACCCACCATTTCGAAGCTAAGAAATAGGGATACAACAATGTAGAAGACCACTCAGTCCAAATCCTAGCACAACTAGGTCAAATATGCAAAATACGAAACCAGAATTACCAAAACAGGTTTGCAAATCACATAATACTGTAATGAGCCTAACTCAGTCTATACAAGTCCAAATGCATTGATTCCAAAGGCATATGGTAGCTAAGACATTCCTCTATAATTCATCAGAAGACATCAACATCTAAAACCAAATAAATTCCAGTCAAAATGGCCAATTACAAGTGCAGTTTTCGCATTCTGATCAACCCAGAACAGCAACAGTAAAATCGACATATCTCACTCTACACTAATCCAAATGACCTGAAATTTTACAGGCACCTCAAACACATCAATACCTACAACTTTCATGTTTTAAGCAAAGTCCAATTCGGCCTCTAACACTATGATCCAAAATCGGACAGAATTAGGGGTTTTGAAACCCTAACATTTCACATTTCAATCCAAATCCAAAATTGGTTGCAATTATCACTAATTCACACCTACTAGAGTCATTCCCCCTCATTATCAACCATCATATATGACCACAACATCACATTCATATTAAACCAGAAAATTCCTCAAAAATATAAAAACTTCACCAAATCACTTCAAATCAAGAAATAAATCACAAATATCATCACTTTAGCCACTACTAAGCATAACTTAAGCTTCATTAAGTGCAAGAGGGAATTCACACACCACTCACCTAGTAACCAAGAGAGGTAGAGATGTTGGACACCTTAGCTCTTCAAACAAACTTCACTAAACTACCTACTAGCACCCAAGGAAGGAATTTTATGGAGTGGAATCTAGTTTAAGTATTTGTTTTTGGAAGATTGAACCAAATGGGAGCTTGAAAATTGATGAAGTTTTCTTCCTTCTTGTGCTTGAGAGGGCCGGCCACCAAGGAGAAGAAATGGTGAATTTTTAGTGATTTTTTTTGGAGATATTAACCACTTAGTCAAAAATAGTCAAAAGGTGAATAGTGCTCCATAAGTCAAATCCAATGATATAGTGACACTTGTCACTCTCATAAATGCAATCTTATCTTTTCTTTTCCTCTCACATCAATCAATTCACACTCTCTACTTATCTCTTAACACCCAATAAATTTCACACAGTATCCGGAATTTAACCTAATTGGCCGAATTTTTCCGAACTTTTCGCACTAGCGGGTCCCACGTCCAATATACGTTCTTATTTTCTCAAAATCTAACCGATACTAGAAAAATCATCTAAAAACTATATTTACCCGATAAAAATTATCTGGGGAAATTTCTAATAAAGAAAATGTAGGAAAAAAAAATGGGCGATTAAATAGAATAAACCCTAGAAAATTTAAAAAATTCTTGGGTTCTCGCACTCATTCTTTCGGGCCGTCACATTTTACAAAAAAAAAAATCTTGAGTTTTTGGAAGAAAGGCGAACTTATGTTTTTATAATGTAAATCTTGAACTTGATAAGATTTTTGGTTACTTTAAATACTCTTCTTATGTTTTAAAATTCTTGGTTTTCAAGAAGAGTGAGCCTATCTTTAGGTGTACGGGCTGAAGGAACTTTGAGATATATAGTAACCGCATTCAAGAGCACGAAATTAGTGTGAATTGACTTGGTTTCCATTTGACACGTAAGTTAGCAAGTTGTACCTAATTCTTGGGTTTGAACTTGGAGCTTGAGGCTTTAACTATAAAACCCTAAAACTGGTTATTCTTGGAGATGATGGTGCTCTGGCTGGCGGCTTGCTTATTAAAGATTTTGAATTTCGAATGGATAACCTTTGGTTTCAGCATGTGTTATGGTTTGATTGGATCTAATTTCGTAAAGGCATGTGATCTGATTGAAATTAGTGATATTTGGACCCTTTGGTTTAACTATGGACTTAGGAAGGGTGGTACACGCCGTGAGGCCTTTTGTTC